GGGGATGGAGTGAGGACGTGGTGGAGACGAGGCAGTGACATGGTAGGGACACGGTGGGGACACAATGGGGACATGGTGGGGATGCAGCAGGGACATTTTTAGGACATGGTAGGGACATGGTGGTGACATGATGGGAACACAGCAGGGTTGCAGCAGGGACACGGTGGGTGCATGGCGGGGATGCGGTGGGGACACGTTGGGGACACGGCGCGGCCGTGGTGGGGATGTGGCATGGACACACTGGGGACACGGGGGCGGCCGTGCCTGCGCGCTGCTGGACGCCTCCTCCTGCCCTCGCGGCAGCTCCGGGCTCCACAGCGCCCGCAGGAGCTCCCGGCCGGGCTGCCCGCCCGAGTCCTGCTGCGCCGCCTCCACCTGCGGGGACGCGGCACRCGGTGGCACCGGGGACATGGTGTGGGGTGGCAACGGGGACATGGTGCGGTGACACCGGGGACGTTGCAGGTGGTGGCACCAGGGACATGGTGCGGTGGCACCGGGGACGTTGCGGGGACGCGTGGGGCGCTCACCGCGTGCAGCAGCTGCGAGAGCTGCGCCAGGCTGTGCTGCATGGCCAGCCGCGTCTGCCGCAGCCACTGCAGCACCACGGCCACCGCGCGGGCGCCCTGGTGGCCCCAGGTGGCCCCGCGGCTCCCGGACRGGGTCTCGGATGGCTCCGCTGGTGCTGGCGGGAGGAGGGAGAGAGATGGGCAGAGCGGAGCCGAGTGGCACAGGGAAACCAGGAAGGGGACGTGGGGACCTTGTGGGGACACCGGGTAGGGGACGTGGGGACAGTGAGCAGGGCAGGGAGACCCCAGCCCAAGAGTGCCCTGGTCAGGATGGGACACGCAGACCCCCTCCGTGCTGCCCGMACCCCCGTACGGGCCGGAGGGGCGGCCCTGCACCCCACGCAGCACCACGAAGCCACCGGGCAGCATCCCTGGCTGGGACACGGGGACCCTGAGCACCCCCATCCCCCTGCGTTGGGACATGGGGACGCGGAACCGGGCTGGGCCGGGAGGAGCCCAGACCCGGAGCACCCAGTGGGGGACATGGAGTGACCCCCCCCGGGCTGGGACAGGCCACGAGCCCCCCGCTGGGCCCCGCTCACCCAGGGGCAGGTAGTGGCTCAGCCACTGCTCCGACTTGTCCAGCACGCGGTCCATGCTGTGCAGGACGAGATGCCCGGCCACGGTGCCCAGCATGGAGGGCAGGGGGGCGGGCACGGCCCCCCCGGGGGGGCTGTCCTGGGGGTCAGTGTCCTGCAGGGCGCACGGGGGGTCGCTGGGGCTCCCCTGGGGGGGGGGTTCTGTGCTCAGCGATGCCCAGCGACGGCCCCACAGCTCCCAGCACCGGCCCCATGGCTCCCAGCACTGGCTCCCAGCACCAGCCCCACAGCTCCCAGTACCAGCCCCACAGCTCCCAGCACCAGCCCCACAGCTCCATCCAGCCCTTGCTGGATGTTGAGCCCAGCCTCCCCTGCCAAAACCCATCGGTTGGGGGTATTTGTGCCCCCCGGGCATCGGGCACCTGCTGGGGTGGCTGCAGGGCGGCCTCGTCCTTGGTGTCCTGGGCCGCTGCGGACACAGGGAGGCTGAGCGGGGACCGCGAGCCCCCAGGGGCATCGTCCCCACGGCCCCACTCACACCCAGCGCCGCTGTCCTCGGGGGCCGGCTCCGGGGGGGCCGCAGRGGGGTCGCCCAGCACCCTGTTCACTGCAAACTGCCCCAGGAGCAGGCTGAGCACCGCGGCGGGGGGGGTCCCGTCCCGCCCCGGCCGCCCCCTGGTCCCGGCACCCACCTGCTGCTGCCAGGTGGTCCCCGCACTGCGGGATGGGGCCTGGGGGGCAGCGGCAGCGCCCGCCCGGGTGACATCGGGCTCTGGGGGGGCAGAGCGGGGTGACAGGGCTGGGGACAGGGGACCAGCGCGGCCCCTGCGCCCAGCACTGCTACCCGGCGGGACGGGAGCAGGGGACAGCCAGCACCCATGGGAGCTGCACCCTGCTGCAGGACAGGGGCAGCTCCGGGCACCCCACGCTCACCCTGGGCCATGGTGGAGGTGGCAGCGGCCCCGGCGAGCGCCCGGTGCGGGGACCGTCCCGCGCGGTGACGCCGCGGCACCCGTGAGGTCACAGCSCTGCTGTGACACCCCCCCGGCTTCCACGGGGGCCCCGGCCGCCCTGTGCCCCCCCCGTCCCACACACRAGACATGGAGCCAGTGCAGGGACATCCAGACTTTATTGCCACCCCCGGGACAGGGAGCAGGCGGCTCCTGCGCCAGCAGCGGGCTCGAGGCGGCACCACCCTGGGGACAAGGGAGGCCCGGGGCYGGGGTGACACAGGGGACGCAAAGGCACCGCAGGCTTCAGGCACCGAGGGGYGAGTGGAGGAGCACGGGGAAGGGCCCCCAAAGGCACTTGAGGGGAGCAGGACACCAGGATGCAGCATCCCTGCCCGGAGCTGGGATGGAGCAGGGATGGAGGCTGGAGAGGCGGCCCCAGCATGCGGAGGCTCCTGCCGCCCTCCCGGAGCAGAGGGAGGAAGAGGAGGCTGCAGCTAAGGCGGTTACGGGGCCTGGCGGGAGCTCTTGGCCCCTACTCGGCCGCATGCATCTCGAGGAGGCTCCGCTCGGCCGGCGCRAAGGGCCCCACGAGCCACGACAGGGGCGTGTTGTGGGCCACGTGCTCCACAAGCTCGTCCAGGAGCTCGCGGGCCTCGGCGGCGCGGGCGCGGGCGCGCTCCACCGCGCCGCCCGTCACGTCGTGCAGCGAGCCGAGCGCGG